TTATCTACTGAAAAGAGAGAGATTGGAAGACAAAGCATTCAACATTGCTCAATTTCTGATGACATCATCAACCGTTGTGGGGCGGACTGGAGGAATATCTGCTCTTCAAAATGATTTACGACGAGCTGTTAATGTACCAAGTCAGCGTACTGGAAGGACACATACTAAGGACTTGTCCACCAACTGCCTTCGCTTTTTATTAACGTTACATAACCCGACATCACATGTACCACATTTGGCGGATCCGAGCACTTCCGGCACTCGATTCGTTCTCTCGCAACCACCATCCACAAAGGTCTTCGAACACCTTGGGCGCGTGGCTTCCGCTGCTGCATGAGGATTTTATTCCTCTTCATCACGACTGTCAACAAAGGCTGGTCTAATCGGCTTTCACTGAAGCCCTAAGATGGCCGTACTGGGCATTTACGCGTGGATTAGACGGTGTGAGCTTGTTTCGAGAGTTCCTCGTGCAGATTGCTCGGCACCAGAGAAAGAAACGAGACGCTTGTTAGACGCAAGGCGCGGTCGAACCAGCGCCTAGCTAGATTCGGCCACCCGTATTGTGAAAAGGATCCTTAAGTTGGACACGGAAAAGATATAATTTTTTAAGGGATGTATGGGAATTGAACGCAAAAATAGATGCATTTGAGGAAATCGAAGGCGCCGAAATAAAAGTTCTATAGAAACTTCGTGTTAGCTCAGTCATATAGGAAATCAGACATAAAGAATATGATTGACTTAGATGCCTTTGCGTTATTCCCAAAAACTCCAATAAGAAAACAGTTCTTTAAATGGTTTTTCAGAATAATTTGTTTCATTTTGGTTGATTAATCAGCTCGAATGAGGTCGTTATAAACCTTTTTTGTATCTTGGTTGTTTCTTACTGAGGTTCGGTGGAAGTCGAACTCAAGTGTTTTTTTTGCTATCATTTCTTTTTACATGACCCTCTTTCACATCTACTTTGCGGATTCCCGCACTTCTCGCATTCGATTCGTTTCCTCGCATCCAACGTCCACTAAGGTCATCCGACTTTTACGTGTGGCTTAAGCTGCTGCTTGAGGATTTTCCTTTCATCATAAACATTGAATGATGGCCCAGTGGGTTCTTCCTGTAATCCTGATATGACCGGGTAGAGCGTTCTCACTTGGATTTTAAGCAGTGAACTTTTCTCAGAGAAGACCGGTATCAATTTGCCGATGCCGAAGGGATTAGGGGCTTGATGAGCCCAAAGCGAGATTCCCATGTTTGTTACCTTTGCTATATGCTCGCTAATATTAATATGACTGTCGCAGGATAGCTTGTTTTCAAAGAAAAAAATATTTTCCGTTGACAATCGCCCAACTATTGACCTGTCCCCTTAGGAACTGCCGGGTGAGGTCAGCTCACTTCAGCGTGGGTAGAATCTACGCAGAGTGAGCGTTGGGTAACAGTACCTCATTCATGCGATGCTCCACTCAACGTGTTTCGAATCGATGTGACGATAACGAAGATCCATATCGCAAGAAGAATTAATCGATGCGGACACTCGACTCGAGTCGTGTGAACACTAGTGAAAGCGAAGCCGCTGAAATATCAGCCATAATAAAGATTTATGGTAAACTCCTAGATATAACTCGTTAATAAATAAAAATGTTGTTCATCCACACTATGGCTCAATGAAAATCGGAATTCGGTACTGCTTTGCTAAATGTTAACTGATTTACATGGATAAAGCTAAAGATTAAGCTCTCGGCGTTCATCAGTTCCTGAGAAATGGGCCTTGATTTCGCCTTCATTAAGTATCGTTAATGGTGATTGACGACATTTCTGTTTATACAATATTCATGGCTGTCTACTGATGTGTCGGGTCAGTGCTGCTATCTCCCAAGACAGGTCTGGCGCCAATCTACCGACCCCGAAAAGAAGAACATTTGGCAACCCCGGGGTACGGAGTGAATCAACGACAGCTTGTGTATAGCAGGACATCTCTAACCAATGCGCTATATGCAAGGTTAATAGTACAACTTAAATGCAAATTGCGATGAGACTTGCACGATTCATGAACGTGAATTAAATCAGAGATTCATGCTATCTAAGTAGGAGGTAAGACTTAAGTGGGCTTCAAATTGCTCAAAGATTCAAACCAAACGTTTTGAGGATGAGTGCGTTCTTCTTTTCACATTCATTATATTGAGACAGATTCATAGTTGGATTATATTCATTCGAGTCCAGTCGTTTCCGCATCGAGTAACCTCGGTTAACAAAAGAAAGAGATACTACGTCGAACATACTCCGTGTTTTAATTTTTATCTGCTGCTTATTCTTTTTCATGGACAAATGTTATGTGAAATACAACCATAACGATGCTGAGACGTGACCACAACTAGGAACCACAGGTGGGTTTGGAATGTGCTATTACTATTGCCAGGGGCTCACGTGGTGTCCATCACACCAACGGCGACCCTTACATTACCACCTTCTCAGCTGTGAAAACGACGAGAGTAATCGCAAGTCCAAAACGCACTTTAGGTGCTTCGAGTTTTGCTCGTATCTCAGCATCTTTGTGGTTATTTTGTGCTTGTCGATTTGCCTGATGTACTTACCTTAAACTTGCGTCTTTTTCACGTAACTTGAAGAATAAAGGGTGTACATGAAAGATGATTAGTTCAGCTTCCGAGATCAACTTTCTGTTAGCCTCTGCATTGGATTATAAATGCTTTGTTTTCTTGTTCATCAATCGCGATGTTGTTATACAGCATGCGTTTACCTCCATACAAAAACACAATACAACGGTGGCTGACGTTTCGGCAGTATCGAATTCCTCAGAGCCTGGAAGGGTATACTGATATACAAGGGCAAACGCTTCAATAAAAGATGGAAAAAGACAAAAAATTCAATGGCAATCGTACGATCAACAGCTTCTCGAAAAACTCGCAGTTTTCTACGTGTCTTTCACTGAGGAAAAACAGCTGATCAGAGTCGCATATGGTTGATGACTGCACCACCTCACATCAAAAATCGATGCAAAGCTACGGAGGGAGATGACGTGTGATTGTCTATATGTTCCTGCCTGCTATTAATTGTAGGATTTTCGGCTTGAACGTGTGGGCTGGGTATACTCAAGGGTAGCTTACCAAGGTTCCCGGAGCGGACATTGACCTTATTTGTTAGAGGCGACTCTTAACCGCCTCCCATATACTTCCCTGTCACTTGATTGCAGGCTTTTGGGCAAATTGACTCGTAGAATACAATCTACGTGAAATAGAACGCACCTCACACGCGAACATGAATACGCCTCGTAAATACAGAAAGTATGTGCCAAATCAGCGCAGCAGAAACAGGAAGGGAGTCCATCCTCTGGATCCACCTGTCTCTCAGGGAAGCAAAGTTCGATTTTGGTCCGCGATTAAACCTTTATCCGCCACCTCGGGACGTGCCACTCGTCTTGGCGACTAACCAGCGATTGGGACCTTACATATGAAGTAGATCCGTGGGATTGCCGAATAAGGTCAAAAAGTTTTTGTGTCTTCCGAAATCATTCTCTCGTCAATTATCGCTCTTCAGCAAGAGGGGTTCATGGAATCCTAATTTTTTACTGGTTCATTGAAGACTTCTTGAAGCAAATGGAAGTGCTCACAGGTGGTTGCTGATAACAAGAATAGAGTAAAAAGTAGGATGAGAGAAAGGAATAGCAAGGGCCGCGGTTGGTACGAGAATAGCATGTGAGTCTCAGAAAGCGTAACGACCCGCTCGAAGCGCACCCGAGTTTCCGAGTTTACTCACATGTCTGCATCCTTGCGACTAGTTTTTAGCTTTTTCGGACAAATTATGATAGAACTCTGAGATTCGGACTATGAAATAGTTCTTTACTAATAATTCCTGGTGCAAATTTCTTAATGGAATCTCGAAATGACTACCACTTTGCGATTCGTTGGTGTTCAGAATTTCTCTACAGGAGGGGAATGCTACGTCAGTAGAGCGTTGATCTGCATGTTCCATTCCCTGTGAGACGGAATGGGAGTTGCTTTCAAACTGGAAGCTGGTGAAGATTTTGTACTAAAAATTCACTCGTGGGCACATACCGACGGATAAAGTAGGTGTTTCCACCCTTTAATATTATTCTAGCGAAAACTTGCTGAGCCGAAATGGATGGAGGGCTCGGCCATTCCATGTCACAAGGGCCAGCCAACATCAATGTGTATTGCAAGGCAACTCCAAGCACTTTATTACACGCCCCCTTCAAACTGGATCATACGGTTCAAACGTTCAGCAATTGGACCTGATGTTCTCAAATATTGGAGAACCGTATGATGTACACTACTGTGAAATACAAGAAGTCTACTTCAATTTACACCACTACGGACGAAGTGCATTTTATTGACTATTTGCCAGTTCACATGTGCCAAACCCAACCACAATGATACTGATATATCTACAAAACTAGGAACCTTAAGCAAGCCTCAAACTCGCGGTTACCCTTTCCAGGGACTCACATGTTAAACACTGTACCACCGAAATCCTAGCTTTACCTTTCACACGGCCAACGTTTCACTCTAACGGTGATATCTATATTCACCCATCAACAGAAATGATCTGGGAATGCAAAAATCAGCATTAGACCCAATGGTGCAGTGGGTAGCACGCGAGCCCTGGGAAATGGTAATCCTGGGTTGGAAACCAGCATTCTGTTCGAGTTTTGGAAATATCTCAGCAAATATTGCTGTTTATGTGCACATTGTTTTATTCGAGAAATTCACTACTGTAAAAAAAAACCGCAGACTTTGGGCAGACATCCTTCCTGAATTTGTCGTCTTAATAGGGAGAGTATGCATTAAAGAATTGCACCAAAACAATGGTTTAGATATAACGGGTATATAAGGGATACATTACACTAATCGCATACTACGGTGTCTTTCCATTGGAAGTCATAGATGCCAGAAGTCTCCGAATCGGAGGAAAATGCAGCGGTTTATACAATTTGACCACATAAATGAGTGATTCGAAATAACACAAGTATTGCTTCAAGTAGTACAGATTCGATAACGCAAAACGGTTTTGATATCACGACTTCTGCTGTAAGTAATTATGGGAATGACGTTGTGCGTAGAGTTTAGGTTCGTGCCAGCACTGCCTGGAGAGCAAAATCTGAAAAAGTTCAGTGCATTGATTTCTAAGAAGCGGTACGGTTGGTCTGCCTTTCTTTCTCACCTGTAACCAGTGTGGCGTTTATCGCTCCCAGTTTTCATTTCCACTCTCGCCAGATAGCAGCCGTCAACAGAAAAATCTTTTGGGGAAGCTGTCTAGCACTACCTCAATTTTTGAACCAGCTGGCGCCTTGCAAAATGCATGTATTCATAAGTGCTATGATTACTCTTGTTTCCATTAGCATATCTTACCTGAATCCAATAATTGCAAGTTATGAACTTATCATTTTGTTTTTTAGCACCCTTTGTTACCACTGTGTCTTCGAGGGTTTGGAAAGAGGCGGTTGCTGTTAGAATTTTACCGCAGCCTTGTGGCTACAAGGAGCAGTGTTTATATGAGTTTTAAAAGACCATTAGCATAACATCTGAATTTTTACTCTTTCATTGCAAAGTCTTCCGCCATAACCGCTTGGACAAATTCACCGAGAACAGTCCCTGCCTGGGATGAAGAAACCCGCCGTTTTGGCACGTGCTCGAGGATTTTCCATTGCATTTGTCTAGATTAATCTAGGGTTAAGTAGAAATTTCGACATCTATTAGAAGAAACGGGAACCATATGTAAGCATCTCACTAAGACACTTGTAGTGCAAGTTCGTCATAAGTTTATCGTAAAAGGAAATTATGTCAGACCCGAGAGTTTGTAAATATTTGATGCCGCGTGGTACCATGACAGGTTTCTTGTTCCTTGAAACACTAAAGTTAACATTTCTATTACACTAATATAACTATGCGCCAAAACATTAAAAATTCGGCCAACACTGTTGCTCCATAGTGCACACTCCATAGTACACTTCCGAAGTCATAGATCAGCTCATAGTTGTAATTTTTGCGTTTCGTTTCCTTTGTGAACTGAGATAACCACCCGTCCTGGAAACACATCTTTCTTAATGTTAAATCTTCGTGCTACCAGCTCGTTTCGGATTCACCAAAATGCTTTTGGTATAAAGTGTGATGAAATCGTCGCGATCATGCCTTGATTAAGTATGGTGGAAACCCAAAGCATGGCCGATTTCGTGAGCCGCGGTTGTTCCAACCTGCATCAAATATAAGTGTCATGTGTCAACTCTGATGAATTGATCTCATTCTCCTTTCTTTATTCTCTACTACAAGGAACTTTAAAAAACACTGAAGACAAGTATTAGAAGGCGCGTGGTAGGTCATACCGACTCGCATCCGCTTCCTAGTGAAAGGCCTTAAACACCTCCTATTCTTCCAAGGTGTGACCAACATCCATCTTCTTTGAAAACGACAATTCTATCCGGTGCTTAAAATTCTTTTTGTGGATTCTCAAACCAAAAAGAAAAATCATCATCAACACAGTCTCCTGCTTTGGTACACCTGTGTTGCTTTCGAAGAATTTAATGCAGGTTTCGTTCTGCCGGGCTTCGGCAGCTTTAGTGAATACCCTTCTTGCCGCTTTTGCTAAAATTAGTTATAAAATCAACTATGTCTATGTTGTAACGTGCTCCTATTCAAGATTCAGACATCCAAAGACGAACTTGCGTTTGAATGGAAAGAGTAATACACTCCACTTGACCACAAGGTTTTTGGGTAACTTTTGTCACGATATGCTTGTCGTCTGATACAATCACTTTCGTTGTCTTTTAGATTATTTACTATCTCTTCGGCTTGTTTCCTGAAATTAGAATATGAGATGTAAGTGCGAATTAGCGAGAAATTGTGCAAAGTTTTCGTACTTGGCGAGGTTCATGTCTCCTTGAAACAAAGTCATGTCAACCTTACTGTTCCGATTTACTTCTTCTATCGAATCTCCCATTGGTTTAATGTGGTCATTTTTGATCTCGACGTAACTCTGTAGTTTGACATCAGCCTGGCTTAATCTGAGGGAAAAGGCATGTAGTCACCTCCATCTGTTTTAAAAAATCGGCATTCGTCTCTGCAGATGAGCTGAGTTCACGCTCAATTTCTTCCTTCATATTGTACAATTGATGGAGAAGCTTCTTGGTGTCATCCATATTTCGTTCCTGTGAAAAGAGATGATTCAGAATATAGGCGAGTTTTGGATAAATTTGCTGATATTCTTCAAGCATACTTACGCCTTCGAGCCGCTGATATCCCTCCTCCAGTTTCTCTTCAAGGCTTTTATCACTTGCTGATCATTCATTTCTCGACGCTGAGTTCTTGGACGTCCTCGCGTAAACGGAGGGAGTCAGCAAAGAAAACAGTACTGCTTTCATACTGAAATGGAAAAACCATCATAAAGGAGGAGGACATTGGACAACAAGAAATGGAAGCACTGAGTATTTGGTCCGCTTGGTTATACACGGTTTTGGATGCTCATTGGCGTCAAAATTGAATAAGTATTTTACTTTCAGACGTCGTCATAACAAATCGCATTGTTCGCTGTTGATTTCAGGATTTTGTTTCACTTAACAATAGGTGCACTTTTAGACTTTGAGATACAGATCTACTCCTTGTTATTTCAGTTGCACATTGCTTGAATGCGGCTCTAACGGCATCTACACCGTTCAGCAAACATGAGGCATTATTTTATTAATTTTTTATATTTTATTTTCACTGTTTGGTTATGGAGGTGTTTGGGCGTGTAGATTGCAGTCAGCCTGACCTTTCCAGGCCTTGAGGAAGGCGAAATCCGCTGAAACGTCAGCTTGTACGTAAATAAAGAAATAAAATAACACTTCGTGTTTGGTGAACAAAAGTAGAAAGAATTATTCAATCAGTGCCGAGGTTAATAGAAAGTCGAACGTGGGCGTCTACACTTTTTGAGTGATCATGTTTGTACAACCCTACAATTACGATAAAGTGTTGTTGTCTGAGTGTCTTTTGTTATGTACAGCTTCACTGCTAGTGCCAGAACGGCATAAAGTTTCTCGTTTTATGAAATTGATTGTCACCGCTTGCTTTATTGTTTGACACTTTACCGTTTAGGAAG